GGTGCCCTGAAGCTTATTGAGCCCTGGATTTTGGGAAATCCTTCATTGTCCCTTATCTTCCTTTCCCTTTCCTGCACATTACATTTCTAAGCGTGAAGATCTCGATCCTTAATAAATACAGATAATTCCTCCCTTCTTAGCATCACATGTTCCCCTTCACTAGGCACCTTTTGTAAACTCTTGTTTTCTCACACTAAAAGCAGAGCTGTCTAACTCTAGGACAAATTTCTCATTAGATCTTTTGGTATCGCAATCATAGCACACCATAAAATACTGACAAGAAAAAGATGCACATTTCTGGGTAAGTGGAGGCATAGCAACTCCACAAGCCATGGGTTGGCAGTGGGTTTTCGACCTAAGGACCTCAACACAGCGTGCACTGGTGCCACTGGACATCATGACTTGGGGTGCTCTGTAGGATGGTGGAGAGGTTCAGCTACTGCTCACAAAACCCACCCAGCACCAATCCTTCAGAGGAGCGGGGCACATGCATTGTCACACCTCTGTTGCAGACAAATCTCAAAGGTCTAAAGCAAACCCGAGTTTTAAATAAGCTGTATATCTGGAAAGCCACCTATTTCCTTATTTACACCCATGCACATTGCTGCGAAAGGCGCTCTCTTAAATGCGAATGTAAACTCAATACTGATCTGTGGACATGGGATCAGTGCTGGTATTGTTTCAAAGCACTTGACCGACGTTGAAGGATTTTGAGTTGAAGAATGGAAGTGCAGACACACGTTGGTGTGCTTAGCTCCACACAGGGAAGCTGCCATGCCTGGCTGCTCTGGAAGTGGCACTGCTTGCTGCGGAGAGGCAGGATCTGGACAGCGCTGTTCTAGATGGCTTGACAAGAGGAATATACCAGAACTGATGATGAATTGCGGTTTTTGCAGTCAGTAGGCCCACTAAGCCCAAGGAAGAGGAGCAGGAAAGAGGAGTCAAACACGTTCGTGAGGGATGGGAAAGGAGAGCAGAAGTAAAGTTAGAGCACCAGAGGAAAAAAGGAGTTTGGCAATCCCAAGGCCCAGAGGGATCTAACCCTCATTGAGTGGGATTCCAGAGCTTGGTTATTGCCATCCCCTCCTCCTTAACCCAACTAACCTTATAGAATCATAGAATCATAGAATAGAATCATAAAATAGAATCATAGAATCATAGAATCATAGAATCATAGAATCATAGAATCATAGAATCATAGAATCATAGAATCATAGAATCATAGAATCATAGAATCATAGAATCATAGAATCATAGAATCATAGAATCATAGAATCATAGAATGTTTAGGGTTGGAAGGGACCACTAGCCAGTTGAAGCTTAAAAACTGTCAGGGCTAATTTTTACTGTTTAACCTGTGCATAACGGACAATTTGGTTTTAGAGAAACTGCAGAAAGAAATCCCTATTACAAATGTCATCTTCTGTGTATTGAAAGAAAGCTGGAACATTCTGGTCAAGCGATGGCAAGCACTTTAATAATAAAAGGCGCCAAAAATAATTTCATCCATCTCCTTCACATGGTACTGACGAATGTCATGAAATAATGAAAATCTTCTGGATTTGTGAATGGCACAAAAATTTAATGTCAAATGACATCAGGACTATGCTAGGCATTTTAAGGTTTCTAAATGCCGTGAGATATTTTATCCTTTATTTACCATGAGAGAAGATATTAGTCATTTGAAGAGCATATTCTTTATTAGGCAGGAAAATCACATTAACTCTTTATTTCCCAGTATCTCACCCTTTCTCTGCTATAAATAAAGACTTTCTTTTGCTCACAACTTTGTCATAAGCTTTCATGTTCCTGCAAAGGGATCAAAGACTGAGACATAAACATTAACCAGATGATTGATTTCCTTGAAAGCTATTCAATCATACTTACTGCTACAAAGGAAGAACGGCTTCACAAACTGTAATGGCATTAAATTTGCAATAAATCCTATAAAACAAGAGGCGATCTTCCCCTCCCTTTATTTAAGATGACATCTGCTTTCCACATTTGTATATAATTGTACGAAGTGGACAGCTCAGAGAAAAGCAAAGCTGTTGGTTTTACTTTGGAAATTACATTAGTTTCTCTGTTTATAGAGGGAGATGCTAGCACCTACGATCTCCAGAGGTGGGATTCACCCGTATTGTAAGACTTTCACATCTGCCAGTGCCACTCTGCAATAATTTGATTGTGAATTGAGAGAAATGTGCCGTTTATCAATGCTACTCAACTATTCTTGAAGTTGAAGCCTAAAAGTCAGCTGAACTGTACAACTAAAGAGCTTATTTCTCACCACAGGCTGTAAAACAAGCTCAGGGGTAGGTTTGCATACGGAAAAATCTAAAATCAGTTGATATGGATGCCATTCCTGGTTAGATATGAGTTCCCTAAATATAGGTAGGGCGTCAGTTGAGGCATCCTCATAGACTTCTTAGAAAGAAAGTATCTCAAATGTATATCCCAGAATATCTCGAATGGCACCAGATGCTTAAGTTTCGGAAACCGAATGGAGTCCTTAGTGTCTACAGAGTAGGTGCCAACCTGTGACCTTAGTGTCTGCACCTCTACTACACTCAATAGAAAATTTATCGGTGTGGCAAATGACATTTTAGATGTCATAGAACTGTTCGGGTTCCTACATACGGTTGTCTGTTGACTGCACTGACTAGATTACTGTTGGTTGTAACGGGATCCCAGACACCTACCCTGGACAGCCACATCTGCATTAAAAACAGCAGAAACTAAGGGTGTTGAATCTGCTTTCTCCAACAAAGCAAGTCTACTCTGTGCTTTACCATCCTAAATGAGGAGAAATGGGTGTTTTCACAGTGCCGCTCATCTGATCTCTTTAAGCGGCTAACCTACGACAAGCTGAATCATGCTCTAGCCACCACTGACCAAACCAGCCACCTCTCCAGTGACTGGAAACCCTGGATGACAGTCAGATGCAGAAAACTGTATTTAACCAGAGGAAACGCATCCAAAGCAATGTGAAATCCCCCTAGAAGGCTGCTGACTGTCAGCTGCAAGACTAGGTGACATCTGCTGAGCTCACTGCCAACAGAACTGCACAAATTCCAGCAGCCACGCTACAACATGGGTCTGCAGCGAAGGGTCATGGGTTGGCTTTTGTTTGAGGTTCTTTCTTGGCCTGGCACATTGAGCTAAGTGCACAGAGGGCCCAAGCGATGCCCTGACTGCTCTCAGTGAAGTCTGGACTTCTCCCAGAGTAGGAACCATTCACTTGCCTAAGCACAGGTTTTTTGAGGTATCCGTAAGCACTTGAGATGTCCAGTGACACATGAACTATGGCAGAACTGCACCTTTCTGCAGGGGAACCTGGAGACCAGCTGAGATGTCCTAGGACATTCCAGAGAGCAGTAGAGGCCCATGAATGGGCCAATTTATTGAGTCTCATAAGCCTATCCTAGCGCACAATTAAAGGCATCCCACTTTCATTAGCTTGAGCATCCGCTCACATATATAACACACAGTATAATATATATGTTATACCTTCCTCATAGCTCTGCTCTGGTGGGATGAAGTATTAGGAAAAAATTCTTAGAGAGTTTTTTTCTTCTTGTTTAACTGACTCTGCTGGGTCTCTAAAACCCAGTGAGCAAACGTTGTGCTCAAGAGAGGCGTGGGCACAAAGCATCAACAGCAGGCAATTATTCCACATGGCTGGACCAATACCCAGGGGACTTGTCCTGCAAGATGTGATATTACAGCAGCTTCTGCCTGCTTTCCCCGGGTGTTGTCACAGCAGCGATGAACTATTGGGGAGTTTTGGAAATAGGGAGGTTACAGCACTAGGATAGGATTCCGGGGATTTTTCATTTCCCTTCTGGGTCTGAAAAGACTTTTGGTGTGGCCTTGGGCAAGCCAGGTAATCAGCGTGGGTTGGTTAATCAGTGTAGTGCCCTGGCCTGTTAAACAGGGACGATATTGTATCCTTAATCCCATTCATAATCTATCACGTTTGTTTGGACTGTGTGACTGTAAAAGCGGAGACTTATCAGCTCGGTGCATAAACTCCAGTGCAAAAGAGCTTAATTCTCTGTGGAGGCCTGCAGGACTACTATAATAAAAAATAGTAAATAATGACTATAAACTACCAGGAGACAAAGAGTCCTATTGCTGCATGGCTCTTGAGACCTGAATTTTAAGTGAAAGCTTCCCAGAACCCCCCAAACAGTGAGTTAAGCTGCTTCCTCCATTAACCTTCCCTGCCCATTATTTGCCAGGTTAATTTCTTGGCCTGTGGCCAAATTTGTCATTTTAGCAAAAAAAATACTTTATTACGCACAGTTTCAGCTTGTTTATTTTATGTCAGTGACTTAATTAATTGCAGTGCTAAACTGTTTATTTTGTACAACAAACATACTATTACACAGGTTGATTCGATTTTCACTGCACAACATCCACATTATTGGATTTCACCAGGAGCCATTTTTGTATCCCTATGATCCAGAGTAGTACGTGGTGCTGCAAGAAGGAAAGGGAGGATGCTCTAATGGTCTGGGCATTCATGTATGGCTTGGAAACCTCCGTTACCTTCTGCAAAGTGCTTGTTTCTCTCTCTGATTATACCAGGAAGCTTCCCCTGTGATATGATGTGAAACCCCACAGGCAGTGAAGCTGTAAAACCATTTGAGGCTGTAGTGAGGTGGGGGTCGGGCTCTTCTCCCTGGTAACAGATGATAGGACGAGGGGGAATGGTTTGAAGCTGTGCCAGGGCAGGTTTAGGCTAGACATTAGGAAAAACTTCTTCACCGAAAGGGGTGTCAGGCTCTGGAATGGGCTGCCCAGGGAGGTGGTCGAGTCCTCATCCCTGGAGGTATTTAAAAGAAGGATGGATGAGGTGCTTAGGGACAGGGTTTAGTGGTGGGATGGCAGGGTTAGGTTAAAGGTTGGACTCGATGATCTCAAAGGTCTTTTCCAACCAAAGTGATTCTATGTTTCTATGATTTCAGGGAGATGAGCTGTCTGGTTTTGCTTACCAAGGAAACTGGTGAGGAATCTGAAGTATTTTGGGCATGGCCGTACCACAACTTCTCCCACCTCCGCTGCAGGCCAGCACGTGATGTTGTCCCATTGCCTTCTGCAACCTGGGAAAAAAAGAAAAGCAGACGGTAGAACAAGGACGAGTGGTATCTGCTGGATGGAGCAGAGGAACTGGGGCAGAGCAGAGCAGCTGTGCAAAGGCGTGTGGAGCCTACCACCTCGGTGCAGATAGAAGGAAAGGCACAGAAATATTTTAATTAAACATGTGGCTTTCAGCTACCCCAGGCCCTGAAATTCACAGAATCCCAGACTGGCAGGGGTTGGAAGGGACTTTGGGAGTTCATCTAGTCCAACCCTCCTGCTCAAGCAGGCTCACCCAGAGCAGGGGGCACAGGACATCGTCCAGGCAGGGTTTGAATATCTCCAGAGAAGGAGGCTCCACAGCCCCCCTGGGCAGCCTGGGCCAGGGCTCGGGCACCCTCCAAGTAAAGAAGTTCTTCCTCACATTCAACTGGAACCTCTTCTGCTTCAGTTTGTGCCCATTGCCCCTTGTCCTGGCGCTGAGCACCACTGAGAAGAGTCTGGCTCCATCCCCGTGACATCCACCCTTGAGATATTTGTAAATGTTAATGAGGTCCCCTCTCAATCTTCTCTTCTCCAGGCTGAACAAGCCCAGCTCCCTCAGCCTTTCCTCCTAGGGGAGATGCTCCAGTCCCCTCATCATCTTTGTTGCCCTCCTCTGGACTCTCTTCAGGAGTTCCTCAGCCACACTCCAACGCGCCCCAGGATGCCATTGGCCTTCCTGGCAACAAGAGCACCCTGCTGGCTCATGGTCAAAGCACTGGTAGTGTCTGTAACTTTCCAGAAATGGGCACAGAAAGAACAGCAGAATGGTGCAAGAATTGGGCAAATTAGAATTAACAAAGAACAGTGCCTTTTTGTAGATGAGAAAGGCAGAAATGCCTAATTAAAGATCTCTCTTCCTTGTTCTTCTCTCTCCCTGTTGTGTTAAAACACCTGGTCTGAACATGTGAGACATGCTCCCCTTCCTTCTCTGCTTCCCCCAAACTTCTGTCACCAACCTTTTCTTCCCCTTGAAATGAGATGATTGTGCAGGGGATGTGCTCAGCAGGAAGGGGAGACTGACAGTCGCGATCAGGAGCCAAATCCCTTCTCAGGAAGCAGTTTTTCTCCTTAAAAAGGGAGAAGGGACAAAACACTCCTGAAGGCTGAGGAGGGACAGTGCTGTCACCAGGAGATGCTCTCTATGGAAGGGTGGTGTGAGGTGGTGCTGAGGCGGTACCTATCCAAGCTAGGAATGAAGGTACAATTAATGGAGCTAACTTCAGGGAGAAAACATAGGAATTTTTTAAAATTAAGCATTTCTGAAGATTTTATGGATAGAATAAAAACTTTCTTGGAGAAAAAAAAATCGCATGTCCTTCCTACAGAGTTATAATGTGTTGTTCTGATTTTGCCCTTTTCCTTCTGCTTTCTTGAAAGACATTAATGATATCACATACGTGCTGCACTGTTGAAGAATGCAATATTAGCACTGAAGCCAAAAGGATTTGGCAGACCTGAATTAAAAAAAAAAAAAAAAATCAGCTGTGTTTTTGCCTCAACATGTTACATATTTTAGGGTTTGCACTAGAATTTTGAAAACATTTTTTTTCCCCTTTAAATTTCCAACAGACAGGCACTTCGGTTGCTGCCTGGGTTAGATAGATGGGTTGTCAACAGATCTCAATTTTTTTTATAGCACCTCTGCTCTCGGTTATCTGTCATGCCCCATTAGATTGCAACACTTCCCCAAATGTGACTAAAGTTGTTGCTGTTGAGGTCAACAGCCTAACGAGAAAAACCAGAATATGCAGGAGAAAGCTTAGAGAAAATACTTTTCACATACAAGTGAAGGGAACTATGAAAACCACTGTCAAGCTGCATTTCTTGGTAATTATATCCCAATCTGAAATTCCTCCTTTAAATCATCTTTTACTACTGGAGGTAAGAAAAAGGCTGGTGTCATCATCAGTCTGTTCAGACTGAGGCAGCCTGCTGTCTCAGATCAATAACGAGAGCGCACAAAAATGCTTTGAAGCTGAAAAAGAACCCTCAGCTCCCTTTCAACGTTATTTTACAGGTTTTTCCTTCCTTCTTTCATGAGCAAATAGAACTTTTCAAATGAAGTCCTGAGGTGAGTTTATCGGAGCCTGAAAAAATGGAATAACTGATGGTATCTTCTTTGTGCGTGCTCTTCTGTAGTGTTCATTAAAATTCAGTTTTCAGGTTTCTAATATTGGGTGCAAAGCTCAGTTTCCACAGCGTCATACTTACCTGCCACCAAACAGCCAGCAGCTCCAAAAGTATTAAGATATTAGATATTCTGCCCATGGAAAATAGATGATTTCATGACAGGATCTTTCATGTTCTATAGCCTTTTCCTCCATCAACCTCAAAAAATTATAGTACCATTACCTCAGGACAGATTATAATGTGAAATAAAATACAAGGTGATAGTGTCAGACAGCTTTTTAAATGTCCTGAATTATACACTTTGAGAATTTTTATGATCTGTATTTTTTTCTGTGTTAGAATTTTTCACCAGCACTTGTGATGCATGAAAAAAAACCTTTAGGTGTTCACTTTCGTAACAAAAGCTTTCTTTGATTAAAATAAAGTGAAGACACACAAGACTGGCCTTGCAAGACACACAAATTGGATCTTTAAAAATTATTGCTTCTGTAAAGACATCCCACATCTGCCTATTAGCTCGTCCAACACCGTTCTTCTTTATTGCCCCCCCAGGCATGCTGACAATATTTATGGGAGGGTCCAGGTTTTAAAGGTGGGATTCATATCCCCCGGCGTGATGACAATATTTATGCAGCTGCCTGGAAGGGTCCAGGTTTTAAAGGTGGGATTCATATCCCTAAATTTATGCATCTAAAAGTCAGATGTGCAAACCTAAAGAAGCCACTGGAAACCAGAGCTCTGGCTGGCAGTTCATGTAGGATGGTTAGCTGAAGTTTGGAAAATGAGGTGTCCTCCTCTCCCCAATGACTAGAAGAGGGACTAGAAGAGGGCCTGCATGATTAACTCAAGTTTAATGAACTGGAACAACACAAAGACTGATGCCTGCAGAGATGCATTGCATTTGCAGTCCAACGCTTGCCGCTTGCCCTGTAGTCATCCCATTACAACATCAGGCAAAAGTTTGTGCCTGTCCATCCAAACCAGGACACAGACAACCCTTATCAAATAGCCTTCTAGAAAATGCTTTTCTTTCACCCAAACTGATAGACCTTACCCTGGAAAACTGCTGGGATCAGGGGGTTGGCGGGCAATATTTGGTCATGTCAGCATGACAGAGCAGTACCTTAGAAAACTATTTGAGGGCAGAAACAGCTGCAATGTGCCTTGGAAAAAGGAAATCCCTCTCTTCCCGGTGGCATCACTTGGCTTTCAATGGCTGTAATAAAGATGACAGTTTGTTTTGCCTGATCAAATCATGTTTGGTGATTGCTAAGTGTTTCTCCATTAATTAATTATAAATGTTGTCTTCTCCCTTGCACTCAGCATCTGCAGGAAGGATGCAAAGGTATTTATCAATCCTTAGCCAAGGCAGCAGGTGCAAATGAGCCATGAATACACCTACCCTACAACTCCATTTCAATCAAGAACTGCTCTGCTCATTTGCTTGTTACCCAAAGCCAAGGACTACACACTGCCAAGGGCTGTGCTTTGCTCTGGAAAGGATCACAAGTGAATCTGGAGAGGCAGCGTAAAAATAAGCGCGTGGCTTTTTCAAGACAGTAGCATTTCCCACTTCCTTGGGTAATCAGGTGCACGCTAAACTCTTGTCATTATAAATCTATATATTTATATCTATAAAAGAGAGTCTTTTCCTTTTCAATTATTTTAACTGTGACTTCCAGACACTCAGCTTTGTCCTGCTGTTGCCTGGTAGATCGTGAAGTGCTCGCTGGAGCCAAATATCTTCTTCTGGGGGGCTGCAGGGAGAAATCCTTCATGACTCTAACGAAGCGGCCTTTTAACCTTCATTCAGATGAGCAGGTCACACTGCTCATCGCTGGACTGTAAGCCATGCAATTAGTGTCATTACTAGCAGCCACCGCTCTCCCTCTTGAAGCAAGGTCCTAAAGTCTTGCTGAAGGAATGGGCTGGAGGCTGTCGGCCACGTGCTGGAGCTCAGATCTTTACACCCAGCAGCTGAACCTTCCTCTTTGCAAGCCAGATGCCCCAAGTGCAAGCCAAGGGCAGCAACAGCCTTGGCCGGGCTTTGGAGATCCCTCCTCTAAGAGGTTCTGACGCAGAAGAAGTGAAGACCACGGACACAGCCCCGTTAGGAAACCCCACCAGGGCTGCAGAAGGTGGTAACCTTTTCCACTGTCTCTGCGAAATGTGAATCAAAGCTCAGGCCCTCATTTTCTCTCCCTTTAAAAGGTTAATAAACAGAAAACAGGTCACTTGTCAGGAAGCACAGGTATCCAGTGGTTTGCAGAACTGGCAGACCAGAGCGCCAGAAACATTTATTTGAGTCCTATCTACACTCACAGCAAATATACTGTCAAAGCTTATCTAGCAAGCAGCAGAGAATAACTTTACTTCATGAATAAACATGACTTCCAGAGCTCTGGCACAGCTCTGAGATGTGACTAGGTTTGGCTGAGGAAAGGAACGAAGGGCAGTAGGCTGGTGCCAGGCACTCTCTTAACCCAGGTGAACTCTTAATTCAGAAGAAAACCCCTTTCAGCACATCTCTCATTTGCACCAAATTCTCCCTAATGACTGGGGTCACTCCTGGTCTCTTCTGAAGGGCATTCACACACGACTTTTGCTTTTGGAACCCATGTTTGTATGCAAAGATACCCCATTGATGCCTGGGGTATCTCGGGATCTCTGCACGCCCCCCACTACCCACAGGTAGATAACAGCAAGGCAAAGGCGCAGCTTGATTAAGCCAAGCTGAGATACCAGTGGGTACCATCACAGGCTGGTGTGCTTGCAATGGAATCTCATTTTCATTCCAATCTGCTATCGGCAGGCAGTTTCTAACCTCTCTGGCGCTAGGACTGTAAAC